CACGCTATCAAAAGCCTTCGCCCAATCCAGCGCCAGCAAAATCAATATCCCGTTCTGCGTGTCTAACACATTCTCGATCAACCGCCTGGCAACGAGCATCGCGTCCGTCGTCCCGCGGCCGGAGCGGAAGCCGAACTGGGTGTCCGAGATGCGGTTCTCTGCGCCCGCCCGCTTAAGACGAGAAAGCAAAATCGAACCGTACAGCTTGCAACCGATGGATAGGAGCGACATCGGCCGGTAATTCGCGCAGTCCGCCACGTCGCCTTTTTTTAATATCGCTGTTACCACTGCTTCATGCCATGCTTCGGGCACGGATCCCTCTGTCCAGCACCGGTTGCACAAGAGCACTGCCCACTTGCAAGCCGGCGTGCTCCGTCTGCATACGGCTTTCCAGAATTCGGCTGGCACGCAGTCTTTGCCCGGGGCTTTGTTGCGCTTGAGGGCGCGGCCTGCCGAATACACCTCCTCTTCCGTGATGGGCCCCAGAGCGACTGGGAGCGCCAGGCCCAGAGGATCAGGCTCATCGACTGCTGCCGTAGGGCACGCAGCCCACTGCACCTTGGCGAAGTACTCTGCCAAAGTCTCTGCCCGCCGGTCGCTGTGCACACTTTGCCCACGTGCGTCCCTCATCCGGCCTGGGGTGGCAGACCTGCTATATCTCAACTTCCGCACCTCGTTCCAATCACCATGCGCAAGGCGATCGTCCAGCCATCGGCTCTTGTCGCTCTCGACAGGAGCCTTGATCCGGCCATGCAGACGTTTCTCTGCCGGGAGGTCTCCCTTCGCCCGGGCGTCGTTCCGCAATTTGATCACTTGCAGAGTGAACTCGCTAATCCATGGATGGCGCTTCGTCGCCGACGCCGTCGGCAAGCAAGCGCTGGCCGCAAAAGCAAAAGACTCGACGATGTCCGAATTCAGGTCGTCGAGGGGCTGCTCTGCGCCCTTGCCACCGCCCATGCGCTTGGAGAAACACTCGCAGAACTCCTCTTCCATCTGCCCAGAAACGAGCGCAGACAAGTCCGGCTTGTGGACGCGATCATTACTCACCTTGGGCATCGCAAGACAGGTACGGCATATGAGAAGAAAATGGCGCGAGTCCAATGCCGCACCCCTGCAACTCCGCACATCCTGAACCCAAGATGCGTACCGCTCGCAACATAACAAGAAATCGATCTGCCCAAAATGTTCCGGCATTGCTGGGTCCCCGGGTTGCGACCCAATGTTGTAGCATGTAATCTGGAGCTCTGGCGGGTGCTCGAAGGAAGTATCACTGACAATCAAATCGTTATTGCCGCACAGCTCCAGCAAGAGGCTCCGGTTGGAGGATGGGTTGCACTGCGCCGTAGGCGCGCCGAATATGTATTCACCTAAATGCTGTTCCTCGGAAGCAAATCTTCTATGAAGCCTAGCGTTGAAATCCCCCAGAATTAGCGCCCGGTCCCTCCCCGAAATAGCACGTAACTCACTGTGCAAATTGTTATGGAAATCTTGCCGGACTTCAAAAGAGCTTCACGAGCGCGATCCCGGACGACACCAACTTGAAGCCAATGACGCTTCTACGGAGCCGGGGCGAGATAAGGAAGCCAACGCCGGCGGACTCCTCGTCGTCTGGGTCCCCGGACAGGATAAGCAGATACCCGGCGTCAGTAACGCTATGCACCGACTCGTTCTTGTGCGTCTCCTGGAGGGCGAGGATGTCGATATCGAGCGCGCTCATGTGTTCTTGAAGCTCAACCAATTTTGTCTCAGTCATCCCCTCCACATTCCACAGTCCTATTGCGACATCGACTCCGCGAGGTTGTAGCTGTCCACCACGGTAGTCTGTAATTACAGAGTTGTCGTCGTGGCCACAAATGGTCTCAATATTTCTACATGGGTGCAGCAGCCCACCTCGAAAGCCAGGGCTCCCGCAACCACGGCTAGTACTTGGGATGCATGTGCATGTACATGTGGTCTGCGATGTTGCGGACTGAATTCTTAATCGATTTGGGCTCATATTGGCAGTAGTGCCGACTGCCGGTGAAACTAGGCTGGGGGCCGTTTCCTATTCATCCGGGCGCCTTCCGGCACCCTTTTGCAACCCCTGTCCGGCGCTCCCCCCCTTCATGCCCTGGGACGCCCGGGCCAGGAGCTCGCGCGACTTCTGGCTCAACTCCTGGATGCGGGGGTTGTTGTGCAACGTGTCCCACGTAGCCCACGCCCCCTGCCAGTCGTAGCTCACGTTGAAGCCGTCGACCCTAGCTGTGAGAGCGCGCTCCCCTCCGACAGTTACGAGGTAGCGGGAATCGCCGTCCACGGACACCTTGTACGGCACCGACCACTCATCCTTCAGAACTCGTTTGAGCCCCAGGCAAAAGTTGCGAGCTGCCCGGTCCGCTGGCGAACGGTCCTGGCTAGCCCAAACATTCTCCTCCCCACTCCTGAGGCTAGCCCGACGTAGAAGATCGACTGCGTTGTCTCGGGAAGTCCGGCTGGGGAACTCGGCAAATAGGATGCCCTTGAACTCCCCCTTGGCGTAGATTTTGTCTGGCGCAGGCCCGCCCATGTCAGCGAGCTTGTCATGCAGCCATGCCGTGGCCTTCTCGAGGTTCTCCAGCGCATCAAGATTTCCAGCCACCATGCTCAGAGCGCGCTTGTCCGCGACCCCAGGTGTGGAGGGCAGATTGTCCCCGGAGCTCTGCCCCGCTTCTTTGGTCATGAACTCCTCGACGTAATTGCGGATCTTGGCCTCCACAGCGTCCATGGTTGGAAACGCCGTCTGCTCGATATGCTTGCATATGTTCTCGAGCTTGTCAACCCTCAGGTCGTTCATGTCCAAGCGTTTTTCCATATTGCCCAAACGCACGTCCAGCTTGGAGAAGTCGCTGCGAAGCCCATCCACTGCAGTAGTCATGGGGCCCAGCTGCTCCTTCAGAAGGGCCGCGATCCCCTGCATGGTGACTTGCTCTCCCTGGGGCTGCTCCTGGATGCGTTCCTCGTTCTCCTCCATCTCCTCCTCTGCCTCTTCTGCTGGAATGCGAACGTAGCCTGAATTGTCCTCCCTCTCGTGCTGTGTGCTCCCTTCCCCTAGCAATGGGGCGAAAGGGGAATTTGGACCATGCCCAATACGTGCCATCTTTCCCTCCTTCATCTTGCACCAAGGGTTCTCCAGGACGTCCTTGACGGGGGTGCCGGCCTGACGGGTATGTTTTGACCACCCCTCACGAGGATCGTGGCCTCCGAGGGGGTGGCTGCAATCGACTACCCCCCTCCCGGTCCAAGGGGCCCCCAAGAGCCCCCTAAGAGGCCCCAGGGGGCCCAAGACGCCGCCAAGGAGCCCCAAGACGCTCCCAAGAAGCCCCCAAGAGGCCCCTAAGGCGGCCCCAAGAGGCCCCAAATAGCGCTCCAGGGCTGGCGGAATGAGCGAAGCGATTAAATAAAGTCATTGGCCTGGTCTTTGCTGGGAGAGATCCAAGTACCGAGATGGCTTACCGCAATAGGGAATGTGGACGGGAGCCAACTTCGGGAGTGTTGTAAAAATGATGCCCCAGGCGGTTGGGAGTCTCCGACACCGTTGGACCCGCAAGTTGCGAGGGCAGGGAACCCATGGCCGCATCGGAATCCGAAAGAGAGCTGACTATGGTTTCTTGCCCCTGCACTTTGACACGTGGATCCCTGGCTTTGCGAATTTGAAAACACACCACCGCCATTTTTCGGATATCCGAGAAGCGGTTCTGAGTGTGCCCAAGAACAAGCGCCGAGCGGTAGTACAAAATCAGGTTGCCAACTCGAGGGCTTGACGGCGCTGTTCGAGCTGCCCTGGATCAGACGGAGGTGGAATGCGTGCCGAGTGCTGCTGCGCTTGAATCGGACTGATCGAGGAGAACTGAGGCAGCTCTGCTGAAAGACTAACTCGGGATCTAAATCCGGGAGGGTTCTGAAAGGCGATGCTGATTGTTAATTACGAGGCTCCCCAAATTGACGCTGCGAGGACGAGCTGGGGACGGCGGATCGAAAAGGATTAGGTAGGGCCAGAAGTCGCCACTGCAGAGCCCTGGCTGCTGGGTGATAGGTCGATGAGCTCGACGAATTGCCCCTGGGCCTGCGGCGATGGCCTTGGCGGCGCGCCTGCCGAGGCTTTGGGCGTCGCCCTAGGGGTAACCGCAGCTGCGAAAGCCATATCATCTCCGTTGGGCACTCTAGGTTGGAGGCCCACCTGCCCTGGAGTCTGCTGGGTCGTGTTAGACTCATCACTAGGCAGTGTGGGCTCTTGTGGTTCAGACGGACGTCCATCCGAGGACAAGGGCGTGGGCGGAGCAGCCAATCCCGTTGCTGAGGACTTCGGGGGGAGGCGCCAGGATGCCGTAGAGAGCCGCCCAGGCTGCGATGACGTCGAGGTGAAGGGGTGTAGACTGTGAACGCAGCAGGCCCAAAGCCCTGCACCCCCTGGGGAGAAGTAGACAGGGCAAGAATGCTCATGCGCTTGACATTGGCGGCGGCAACTCTGGCAGCACCATGCAAAAGTTATTCCAATTTGCACAGACGCGCAGGGGACCTACATTTGGTGCGCTCGCTGATCCATCGGCGGAGAGAAGTGACCTTCCAGAAGCCGCGTGGCGTACGAGTTCGGCGGAGGAGCCGTCGACAAGCGAGACTGATGCTGCGAGGAATGATGCATCCCCATGTTTGCTTTCGCTTTGCCCTAGCGTAAAAGCACCCGATCCAAAACTCTCTGCTTACGCTGTGCACGGTGCCAGGACGGCTCGGGTCGAGGCCTCCGAGGATAGGATAGAGGAGGATGCTGAGGAAGAGCAGGCGTGACGCCCGCTTTGAATGGCGGCCCGCGGGTGGGCGGCGCGTCCGGGCGTGGCGCGGATCCAGCCGTCAACCGCTCGAGCCAGAGGCCTAAAAAAAGGAGAAGGAGGGAGGAGGGAGGGAGGAGGAGGAGGGAGGGAGGAGGCAGGAGGGAAGGCAGGAGGAGATTGAGGAGGAAAATGTGGGAGCGGGGCGGGCGAGCTCGCCGAGGAGTGGATGCAGAAGTGCTGCCGCGAGCCCAGCACGACGCTCGAGGTCGTGTACGTGGTCTTCTTCAGCTCGTGGATCAC